GGCGTCCCAGCGCCAGAGGAGGGGTCCCCATATACGCAGCCCCCGCGTCCCACCCCAGAGGGGCGGCGTCCCAGCGCCAGAGGAGGGGTCCCCATATACGCAGCCCCCGCGTCCCACCCCAGAGCGGCCACATCCCAGGGGCCGCGCCCCAGCGCCCAGCAAATGGTCCCCGTCTACCCAGCCCCAGCGCCCCACCCCAGAGGGGCCGCGTCTCAGCACCAGATGAGGGGTCCCCGTATACGCAGCCCCCGCGTCCCACCCCAGAGGGGCCATGTCCCAGTGCCCGGTGAGGGATCCCCGTATAACCAGCTCCTCACTGCAGAGGGGCCACGGCCCAGCACCAACAAGGGGTCCCTGTCTACTCAGCCTCTGGGCCCCACCCCAGAGGGGCCGCTTCCCAGAGCCGGGGAAGGGGTCCCCATCTAAGCATCCCCCCACCCCAGAGGTGGTCGCAGCGCCATGCTCCATGCTGCCCCCCCTTCCCCCCCGTGGACTCAGGCCTCCCTGCCCACTCTCTGCCCCCCGCCCCCTTCCCAGAAATGCCTGCGGTTCAACCCCGACGCAGCCATCTGGGTGGCCAAGCAGCAAATCCTCTGCACCCTGAACGAGAGCCTGAAGGACGTGTTGAACTACGGGCTCTTCCAGCCGGCCACCAACGGGCGGGACGCCAAGTTCCTGGACGAGGAGCGGCTGCTGCGGGACTACCCCCAGAGCTTTGAGAAGGGCGTGCCCTACCTCGAGGTGCCCCGGGGGGAGAGGCTTGGTGGGAAGGGGAGAGGCTACAGGTGCAAGGGGAGGGGCGTTGAGGGAGGAGGGGGGTTCTGGGCACAAGGGGAGGGGCTTTGTGGGAGGAGGCGGGGCTCTGGAAACAAGGGAGAGGTGCCTTGTGGGAAGGGGAGGGGCTGCAGGCTTTGCGGGCGAAGCCATAGGCACAGGGGAGGGGCTATGTGAGAGGGGGAGGGGCTTTGGGGTCGCAGGGTCAGCATCTCCAGCTGAGGTGACCCCGCCCCTTTCCCCTCCCCTCCCCCCGGCCAGTTCCGCTACAAGACTCGGGTTTACAAACAGACCAACCTGGACGAGAAGCAGCTGGCGAAACTGCACACCAAGGTGAGTGACCTGGCCCCGCCCCCTGGCCACAGCCCCACCCACCTGGCCCCGCCCCCTGGCCACAGCCACGCCCACGGTGCCCCACCCCATTGTCCCTCCCCAGCATTCCCCCTCCCTGCCCCCCACTCACCCCTGTCCGCCCCAGCTTGGTACCAGGGCTGGCGGCCTGCTACCCCCCGTGCTGACCCAGCAGTGCCCTCTGTAGTCACCCAGCCACCGTCCGGAGAATTGGGTCCGGTGCATGTGCTGCAGCCCCAGAGCCATCTGCCCCCCCCAAACCCACCCAGTCTCTCACTTGTCCCTGCTCCCCCACCCCCACCCCACAGACTGGCCTGAAGAAGTTCCTGGAGTACGTGCAGCATGGGGCGGCGGAGAAGGTGGCGCGGCTTCTGGACAAGGGCCTGGACCCCAACTACCACGACTCGGACACGGGGGGTGAGTGTAGGGACAGGGGCCTGGGGGTGTGCAGCCGGGTGCAGGGAGGGGGCGGGGGCTTCCTTTGTCCCGCCCTCCCCGCCTCGGCGGTGACTCCCGTCCTGTGCTCTTCCCCTGCAGAGACCCCGCTGACGCTGGCAGCCCAGCTGGAGGGGACCGTCGACGTGATCCGGCTGCTCTGCCTCGGGGGCGCACACATTGATTTCCGGGCACGGGACGGTGCCACCGCGCTGCACCGGGCAGTTTGCACCCGGCGCTACGGAGCCCTGACGGTACAGAACCCGCCCCGTCCCCTCACCGCGCTGCATCGGGGCGGCCTGCACCGGGCGCTGGGGGGGCCCAGAGTGGGATGAGTGTGCCTAAAGGATCTGTGCAGACAGCAGGTGCCGTGTAGATGGGACTGTGTTACTGCAGCTTGCAGGTTGTTGCGATGTGCATTGTTGCAGTGTGTGCACACACGCAGCGTTTGGTGGGCAGGTTGTTGCAGTGGGCATTGTTGCAGTGCACGTGCAGTACAGTTGCAGTGTGCGTTGCAGTGCGTGAGCAGTACATGAGTGCAGTGTGCACATACACAGCGTGCAGTGGCCGTTGTTGCAGTGTGTGTGCAATACATGGATGCAGTGTGCACACACACTGCCTGTGGTGGGCAGGTTGTTGCAGTGTGCATTGTTGCAGTGTGTGTGCAGTACACAGATGCAGTGTGCGCACACCCAGCATGCGCGGGGCAGGTTGTTGCAGTGGACATTGTTGCAGTGCGCTGCAGTACACTGATGCAGTGTGCGCACACACAGCGTGCGGTGGGCAGGTTGTTGCAGTGGGCATTGTTGCAGTGGGCGTGCAGTACACGGATGCAGTATGCTCACACACAGCGTGCAGTGGGCAGGTTGTTGCAGTGGGCATTGTTGCAGTTCGCGTGCAGTACAGTTGCAGTGCGTGAGCAGTACAGGTGCAGTGTGCACACGCCCAGCGTGCGCTGGGCAGGTTGTTGCAGTGGGCGTCATTGCGGTGCGCCCACAGTGTGGACGAAGCAGATGTGTGTAGCGTGTGATGGGGCGGCGAGTGTTGGTCTGTGTGTGTGTTTGTGTATTACTGCGGCACACCCGTTCTGCTATAGCTAAGGCGGGCAAGCTGTTTCTGTTTCAAGAATGACTCTTCTTAGTGCTCTCAAATCTGGTTACTCGGGTGCCCTGGTAACGTGCTGTGCCTTGGGGGGGGGAGGCAGCGGGGGTCTGCAGACACAGTCCCCTGGAAACACCCCAGCATTTCTTAAGGTTGAGAGATTCTACCAGCTTGACTTACACCCAGGCAGTCGTCGTGGGCACGAACCGTACCATGGCATTCCCTGGCTGTCAGAGGTTTGAGTGTCACTGTGTTTGTTGCTCTGGACCCAGGCAACCAGGGCTCTGCATTAACCGAGTCCTTTTTGTCTTGGAATAAAGATGACATGGGGGGCACGCAGTGCTCATGCAGTGCAGTGTGGGCCGGCACAGTGGGCATGCAGCGACAGTGAATCGCGTGTGCAGTGCGTATGCAGGGTGTGCTGGTTGTGCGCAGTGTGGGATGGATGTGCCCTGAGTGCTGCCAGTGGGCATGCAGCGAATAGTGTGTGTCGTGCATATGCAGTGTAGTGTATGCAATGCATGTTGTGGGTGTGCAGTGCACTATGTGCTGGCAACTGGGCATGTAGTGTCAGCAGTGTGTGCGGTGCAGTGTGTGCAGATGCAGTGGACACGCAGCGAACGCAGTGTGTGCTGGTGCAGTGCGTATGCAGTGTGCGCTGGTGCAGTGTGTGCTGACGCAGCGGGCATGCAACAAATGCAGTGTGTGCTGACACAGCGCGTATGCAGTGTGTGCTGTGTGCAGATGCAGTGAAACACAGCGTATGCAGTGCGTGCTGGTGCAGTGTGTATGCAGTGTGTGCTGGTGCGGTGTGTGCAGATGCAGTGGACCGTGCAGCGAATGCAGTGTGTGCTGACTCAGCGAGCACGCAGCAAATACAGTGTGTGCTGTGCAGTGAGCGACGAGGCAGTGGGCATGCAGAGAATGCAGTGTGTGCTGTGCAGTGCGTATTCAGTGCGCGGCGCTATGTGTGCCACGTACCCTGATGCAGTGGGCGTACAGTGTTTGCAGTGTGCCTGGGTGGACATTGCCAACCCATCTAACTCCCCGCTCACATCTTTGCTCCTCGCCTCCCCAGGCGTTGCTGGACCTTGGGGGCTCCCCCAACTACAAGGACCGTAGGGGCCTCACCCCCCTGTACCACACGGCCATGGTGGGGGGCGACCCACGCTGCTGCGAGCTGCTGCTCTACAACCAGGCCCACATCGGCACCATGGACGAGAACGGCTGGCAGGAGATCCACCAGGTCAGAGCCCGCGGACGGGGACACCCCCTTCCCTACAAAGACAACCCGAGACAGGGAACCTCTCGGGTGATCCATCCCCTGTCGTCCAGTCCCAGCTCCCGGCAGTCAGAGGTTTAGGGACACCCAGAGCATGGACTTGCTCCCCTCACCATCTTGGCTAATTGCCATTGATGGACTACCCTCCGTGAATGTATCTAGCTCTTTTTTGAACCCCAGTTCTACTTTTGGCCTTCACCACATCCCCTGGCAAGGAGTTCCACAGTTTGACTGTGCGTTGCGTGAAGAACTACTCACTTCTCGGTTTGTTTTAAACCGTCCGCCTGTTAATTTCATCGGGTGACCCTTCATTTGTGCGTTACGAAAATGGGGTAAATAACACTTCCCTACTCCCTTTCTCCACGCCATTCACCATTTTCTAGATCAATGTTGTACCCGCCCCCCTGTTAACTGTCTCTTTTCCAAGCTGAGCAATCCCCGTCTTTTAAATCTCTCCTCACGTGGAAGCCGTTCCGTACCCGTAGTCATTTTTGTTATCCTTCTTTACTTTTTCCAATTCCGATGTATCTTTTTTTGAGACAGGGCGACCAGGACTGCACGCAGTATTCAAGATGTGGGCGGACCATGGATTTATATAGAGGCATTACGATCTTTTCTGTCTTATTATCTATCCCATTCCTAATGGTTCCTAACAATCTGTTCGCTTTTCTGTCTGCCACTGCACTTTGAGCAGACGTTTTCAGAGAACTCTCCACGATGACTCCCAGATCTCTTCCTTGAGTGGTAACAGCTAATTTAGACCCTATCATTTTGGATGTGGCGTTGGGGTTCTGTTTTCCAGTGTGTGTTACTTTGCATTTATCAACACTGAATTTCATCTGCCATTTTCTTGCCCAGTCACTCAGTCTTGTGAGATCCTTTTGTAGCTTTTCGCAGTCTGCTTGGGACTTAACTACCTTGAGCAGTTTTGTATGGTCTGCAGACTTTGCCACCCGTTTTTCCTGTTCATTTATGAGTATGTTAAACAGCACTGGTCCCGGTACAGATCGTTGGGGGCCCCCGCTATTTACCTCTCTCCACTGTGAAAATTGATTCTTATTTTTCCTTTCCTATCCTTTAACCAGTGACTGATCTGTGAGAGGAGTTTCCCTCGTATCCCATGACAGCTCACTTTGCTTAAGAGCCTTTGGTGAGGGACCTTGTCAAAGGCTTTCTGAAAATCTAAGTACACCATATCCACTGGATCCCCCTTGTCCACGTATTCGTTGACCCCTTCAAAGAATTCTAATAGATTGGCGAGGCGCGATTTCCCTTTACTAAAGCTGCGTTGACTCTTCCCCAACAAATTATGTTCATCCGTGTGTCTGATCATTCTGTTCTTTACTAGAGTTTTTTACCAATTTGCTACTGAAGTCAGGCTTAACGGCCTGTCATTGCCGGGATCGCCTCTGGAGCCTTTTAAAGAAATTGGTGTTACATTAGCTGTCGTCCAGTGACCTGGTAGAGAAGCGGATTTCAGCGATAGGTTACATACCATAGTCCATCTGTTGTCCAGTGACCTGGTAGAGAAGCTGACTTCAGCGATAGGTTACATACCATAGTCCATGCTTCTGCAGTTTCATAGTTGACGTCCTTACGAACTCTCGGGTGATTCCTGTCTGGTCCTGGTGACTTGTTACTGGAATTGTTCCAAAACTTCCTCTATTGACACCTCAGCCTGGGACAGTTCCTCAGATTTGTTACCTAAAAAGCATGGCTCACGTGTGGGAATCTCCCTCACACCCTCTGCAGTGAAGATCGATGCAAAGAATTCATTTAGCTTCTCCGCAACGGCCTTGTCTTCCTTGCGTGCTCCGTCAGCACCTCGATTGTCCAGGCTTCCCGTTTCCGATGTACTTACAGCAATTTTTTTTTTAAATTTTGTGTGTGTTTTGCTAGTTGCTTTCAACTTCTGTCTTGGCCTGATTATACTTCTACCCCTGACTTGACACAGAGTTTATGTTCCTTTCTCTTTCCCTCAGGGAAAATTTGACTTCCAATTTTTAAAAGATGTCTCTTTGTCTCTAATCGCCTCTCTTGCTTTGATGTTTAGCCATGGTGGCATTTTTTTGGTCCTCCTACTGTCTCTTGAATGTGGGGTGTATATATAGTGTGAGCCTGTATTAGGGTGGTTTAAAAAAGTTTCCTTGCAGTTTGCAGGCATTTCACTCTTGCGACTGTACTTTTAAATTTTAATGTTAATACTGCGGTGGGTTTTTTCTGGTGTTTTCCTCCCCACCCCCCGAGGATGTGAAATTTAACTACGTTATGGTCACTATTACCGAGCAGTTCAGTTACATTCACCTCTTGGAGCAGATGCTGTGCACCACTTGGGACTAAATCAAGAATCGCCTCTTCCCCTGTGGGTCCCAGGACTGACCCGTAGAGGACACCCGAAAAAGAGACCCTCTCAGCCAGATCCCCTCATGAGAACCCACCCAGCCAGACCCCCTGCAATGGTGCCAGATCCCGCCCCCACACCAACAGGGTCACCCCCATGACGAGGACCGCCCTCTGATAGGGACCTCTGCCCCCCCCCCCACACTCCAGACCCCATATCGTTTCAGGAACCCCAGCCCACATTGACCCACCCCTTGGCCCAGAGCTGCCCAGTCCGTGTGAGGAAAGGGGGGTGGGGTGGGGTCTGTCCCATTCAACGCCCCCCCACACCTTTGCTGACGTGTGTCTCTGTCTTGCCCCCCAGGCCTGCCAGCACGGGCACTCCCAGCATCTGGAACATCTGCTCTTCTACGGGGCCGAGCCGGGGGCCCAGAACGCTTCCGGGAACACGGCGCTGCATGTCTGTGCCCTGTACAACAAGGTGTGTGTGTGAGACCGTGCCCCCCCCCCGCACTGCACAACCACCCCCCGCACTGTCCTCTCCCCCCCCAGAACACTCCCCATCTCACGCCACGTCCTCCCACAGGAAAGCTGTGCCCGGATCCTGCTCTACCGGGGGGCCAACAAAGAGATTAAGAACAACAGCGGCCAGACGCCTTTCCAGGTATGTGTGTGGGGGGGGGAGAGGGGGCAAGGTGAGGGGTGTGCAGCGGGGTGCAGGGGAGGGTGCAGGATGGAGGCGTGCGGGAGGAGGTTGTGGGGCAGGGTGCCTGGCTTGAGGGGTGCAGGGGGGGATCTGGGGGGCGTGCAACGGGGGGGAAATCTCTGATCCATTCCCCCGACCCCCGAACTCCCCCCAGGTGGCTGTGATCGCCGGGAACTTCGAGCTGGGGGAGCTGATCAAGAACCACCGGGATGCTGACATGGGTGAGTCGGGGGGATCCCAGCATTCAGCCACCGACTACGTCCCCACCCCAGGGAGAGCCCCACCCCCATCCACAGGCCACACACCCCCAGAGCCCCCTCTGTGGAGAGCTCCTGTGGAGAGCAATGTTAAAAAATCAGGTGTCACACCCCGTCCGTCAGGGGACAATGAGAAAATCAAGATACGAGAGCGGGGGGGGGGGGGCTGTTTTGATGTTTGACCCTCACCCCCGCAGGTGGTCTGTATTGGGGAGGGCGATCTGGACCCCCTGCTGCAGGAGATCTCACCCCACATCTGCCCCTCCCCTGCTCAGCAACTCACTCTGCCCTCACCCAGCCCCTCACCAGTTCCGCCCCAGCCCCCCTTAATTCTGCTCCTGCCTCTAGTTCCACCCCCAGCCTCCCCTCCACATTCTGCCCCCATCACTTCTGTCCCCCCCCCAGCCCCACCTTCCCTCCTGCAGCCCCTGGGGTCTTCACCCCCTCTCCAAGGTCTGGGGGGGCTTTAGAAGGGTTCCCCCTCCCAGGTTGGTGTTGGGGGGCAGTGCCTCACCCCTCCTATGAGAATGGGGTTGGCTTGCGGGGGAGGGGCAGGGAGGGAGAGCTCTGCCTGCCTCCTTCAGCCCCTGTGATTGGCTGCCCATCCCCAGGAGGTGGGCCAGTGGGGAAGGGCAGCAAATCGGAGAGGGTGCAGCTTCACGCCTCCCTCCCCGGGGCAGAATTGGCAATGAGGGCGGCGGCTCCAGCCCCAGCCACATCTGCCATAGCTGGCACCTCACGGAGCTGGGGATAGAGCCCCCTTTTCTGGGGTCTGGCCCCACCCCCAGCTCCCTCCACAGTATGTCCACCCAGGATTGACTGACCCTCCCCACCCCGCAAGCCTGGGTCCCCCCCCCAGGTGCCCTGCTCTGACGCTGTGCCCTGCAGTCCCGTTCCAGGAGTCCCCACAGTATGCAGCCCGGCGCCGAGACGGGGGGCGCAGCCTGGGGGTCCCCCACCTCCTCCTCCGGGCCAACAGTGACACCAGCATGAACGTGCCCGACTGGATGCTGTACGGCTCCCCCACTGCGCCCCCACCGCCGGCCACGGTGGCTGTGCAGGCCCCGAAGATCGCCACAGGGACCCTGCGCAGCGCCAGCAGCCCCCGCGGCGCCCGCACCCGCTCCCCTTCCCGTGGGCGCCACCCTGAGGATGGCAAGAGGCAGCAGCGTGGACGCCCTAGGTACTCGGACGCCTGGGTTCTCTCCCCAGCTCTGGGAGGGGATTGGGGTCTAGTGGTTAGAGCGAGGGGGGGACTGGGTTTTCTTCCCAGCTCTGGGTGGGGAGTGGGGTCTAGTGGTTGGGGGGGGGGCTGGGAGCCAGGATTCCGT